GCATCGGCAGGCAGACTCTCAACCACTGTGCCACCAGGGAAGCCCTAAGTGGTTTTTACAGAGGTTTCACAGGCTTGGTTGATCAAATCATTGGCCTTTGGTGATTAATTGAATCACCAGCTCCTCTCCACTCTCTGAAGATTGGGAGGGTGGGGCTGAAAGCTCCAAGCTTCTAATGAAAGCTTGGTCTTTATGGCCACCAGCCCCAGCCAGAAGCATCTAGGGGTTGCTCATTAGAACAAAAGACGCTCCTATCACTCTGGCGATTCCAAAGGTTTTTTAGGAGCTGTGTGCCAGGAATCGGGGACAAAGACCAAAAATATATTTATCACAAAGGCAAATTTGCATTTTTATGTGAACTTTCTGGATTTTCAAATAGTTGGCCACAAATCCTGATGGATACTGTGATGATCAGACAAAACTGTTTTGAGATCATAAAACATCAATGCTAGATATTACCTTATGGCCATCTAGTCTCACCAAAACTTTTGTGAACACATTTTTCCTCTACTGTAAGAGTGACACATCAATGCTGTAAAAGCAAAAATCATGCAATGGGAAGGAAGTCTTCCTCTCCCCAAAGACCTCTAGCAGAAAGAAACTTTTCAGCAGTCTCTATGTATACTTCCAGGTGTGTGTGTGTGTGTGTGTTCATACACCACTTGGCATCCTGTCTTTTCAGGTAACAGCACATCTCAGCTTTATCGGCACCTAGAGATCTCAACATGTTTTATAATATCTGCATGGTGTTTATTGGATGGTCTACCCTAATTCCAATTAACAAATTTCCCATTGGGTATCTCCAATTTTTTTTTTTTGCTATTATGAATTGTACTACAGCAAACAGACACACAAACATGTGCAACTATGCCTGTAGCATAAACATCTGCAAGCAGGATTGCTGGGAAAGTGTGTGTGTGTCTTTCAACATTTTTTAATATTGCCAACCTGTCCTCACAATCATCAGACCAGGACACGGTTTGCTCTGCCATCTTGTCTGGGTGGATGTTGACCCTGCCTTTTTCATCCTAGGATATTTTAATCAGAGTTCTATCAATACTGATAGCATCTGTATAAAAATATATATCTTCCAGGGAACTCCCTCGCAGTCAAGTGGTTAGGACTCTGTGCTTTCACTGCCGAGGGCACAGGTTCAATCCCTGGTGGCGTGGCCAATAAATAAATAAAACTATATATCTTCTGGATCAAACACCATCAAGTCAACGTATTTCTGTGATTCATTTTCTATTTGGCACCAACATATTCCAACTTTTACCATTTAAATTTTTATTTTACTGAAAACTTCAGCTGCTTAGGTCTTTTCCATAAGGTTTTTTTTTCCCAATTATCTGTTTTTGTCTGCGTTGGGTCTTTGTTTTTTTGTTTGTTTTTTTTTTGCAGTACGTGGGCCTCTCACTGTTGTGGCCTCTCCTGTTGTGGAGCACAGGCTCCAGATGCGCAGGCTCAGCGGCCATGGCTCACGGGCCCAGCCGCTCCGCGGCATGTGGGATCTTCCCGGACCGGGGCATGAACCCGTGTCCCCTGCATCGGCAGGCGGACTCTCAACCAGTGCGCCACCAGGGAAGCCCCAGCTTATTTGTTTTATACATAATAGTTTATACCTCTTAATCTCCTGCCCCTATCTTGCCCCTCCCAAATTCCTTCTCCCCACTGGTAACCACTAGGTTGTTCTCTAGATCTGTGAGTCTGTTTCTTTTTTTTTATATTAACTAATTTGTTTTACTGTTTAGATTCCACAGACAAGTGATAACACACAGTATTTGTCTTCCTCTGACTCATTTCACTTATGCCCTCCAAGTCCATCTATGTTGCTGAAAATGGCAAATTTTCATTCTTTTTTTATAGCTGAGTAGTATTCCATTCTGTCTATGTGTGTGTGTGTGTGTGTGTGTGTGTGTGTGTGTGTGTGTATCACATCTTCCTTATCCAGTCATCTGTTGTTGGACACTTAGGTTGCTTCCATATCTTGGAAATTGTAAATAATGCTGTTGTGAACATTGGGGTGCACGTATCTTTTCGAATTAATGTTTTCATTTGCTTCAGGTATATATCCAGGAGTGGAATTGCTGGGTCATATGGTAGTTCTATTTTCAGTTTTTTGAGGAACCTCCATACTGTTTTCCACAGTCGCTGTACCAATTCACATTCCCACCAACAGTGTAGGAGGATTCCCTTTTCTCCACAGCCTTGCCAACATTTGTTTGTGGTCTTCTTGATGATGGCCATCCTGACAGGTGTGAGGTGATACCTCACTGTGGTTTTGGTTTGCATTTCCCTGATGATTAGTGATGTTGAGCATCTTTTCATGTGCCTGTTGGCCCTCTGTATATCTTCTTTGGAAAAATGTCTATTCAGTTCTGCGCATTTTTTAATAGGCTTGTTTGTCTTTATGATGTTGAGTTGTATGAGCTGTTTATATATTTTGGATATTAACCCCTTACCCATCGTATCATTTACAAATATTTTCTCCCATTCAGTAGGTCGTCTTTTCGTTTTGTTGATGGTTTTCTTTGCTGTGCAAAAGTTTTAAATGTAATTAGGTCCCATTAGGGTTTTTTTGCCTCATTACATTCTTATCCTAAAAGATCCAAATAATTCAGATGAAGCCAAAACACCCCCTCCTCGTGTTCCCGACGCCACTTCCCTCCCCCGAGGGGAGCAGAGGTGTTAGGTGTGGAGCCTCTCCAAACTTTTTCTCTCCATAGACACACTCGCGTGCACACACAGAAACATGTCATTTTGTGAGTATTAGGTAATGCTGTTGAGATGGTACTGTATTGTATCGTTGAGCATCTTGCTCTTTGTCAGGTAATAGTATGTCTTGGAGATGTCCCCCGTTATAAACACAGACCTCGGACTTCCCTGGTGGCGCAGCGGTTGAGAGTCCGCCTGCCGATGCAGGGGACGCGAGTTCGTGCCCCGGTCCAGGAAGATCCCACATGCCGCGGAGCGGCTGGGCCCGTGAGCCATGGCCGCTGAGCCTGCGCATCTGGAGCCTGTGCTGCGCAACGGGAGAGGCCATAACAGTGAGAGGCCCGCGTACCGCAAAAGAAACAAAAAACACACAAAAAAACCCACAGACCTCTTTCTAATGATGGTCGGCTGCTCAGATGTACTTAGTCCCTACTGATGAATATTCAGGCTATTACCTATTTTCGCTATCATCAATCATTCTTGAACTGCTAGCTATTCAGAGTGGGCGAGAGAGGGGTGTGGTGGATGGTGGGTGGACCCAGCTGGCTCCTTGGGAACTGAATGCACACACACCCCTGTGTGTGGGGGGGAGTGGCAGAGGAAGTGTGTTCTACCTGTGGATGTCACTGTCCTGTCAGTCGAGGTGTTAACCCCAAGGATAAAATCCCAGGGCTTTACGGGACAAATCCAGACAGGTCAGGTGAAGCCCACGTCAGGTGGAGCCCAGACAAAGGAGTGAAACAAAAACACAGAACAAAAACTGGTTTGGGGAGCTCTTACTCTTCATTTTGGTTGGGAGTTGTCACTTTTGTTTCACCCTCTCAGCAGACTGTGGGCCAGATTCTGGGTATCACACATGGCGTGGACCTGGGCCAGACCTTCCCTGGAACCCGCTCGATCCAGGCCAGGGGCAGGCCATGGAGATTTGTACTCGTGTTCAGAGCAGTGAGGGGAATGGACCCTGGCCGGGGTGGGTGGACAAACAGAGGCGCTGCTGGGCACAGGGAAAACTGAGGCCGGCAAGAATGGGGAGCAGTCGGGCTCTTGGGAGAAGTTTCACAAGTCGGGGTGCATGCTGGCAGTGGGGCTTCAGGTGTCATCAGGACTCCTGGAAGATTGTTTTCAAAATAATCTGCAGCAGGAGGGAAAAATACAAAAGCTCCAGAGTTGGAGAGGCTCTTGTGAGGATCTCTTGGGAGGAATTTGATTAAAGAAACAGGCTACATTTTCGATCACAGAAACATAATTTAAATGAGTCCTTTCCCACCTCTCATTTGAAATGTCACCCACTCATTGCCCGTTTTTGTATGACCCATGAGCTAAGAATGGCTTTACATTTTTAAACAGTTGGAAAAAAAATCAAAAAAAGAATACTTTTGTGACATGTAAAAATTCCATAAAATCCAAATTTCTGCATCCATAAGCACAGTTTCATTGGAGCAAAGCCACATTTATTCACCTGGGAATTGTTTCTGGCGGCTTTTGAGCAACAGTGGCAGAGTTGGGGAGTTCTGTCACAGACCATATGGCCCTCCAAATCTAAAATATTTATTAGGTTTCTTTAAGAGATGTCATTTATTGGGGGCTTGTTTTTCCCCAGTTAAAAAAAAAGTAATACATGTTCATGGTAGAAAATGTGGAAATTGATTTTTTAAATCCATTGTAACACCACTGGTAAACGTTTTTTGCGGATGCATATATATGCCTCTAAGGGCCTAGCTATCTATGTATCATAAAACTAGGAAGATACTAGGCCAGTTAATTTTTGTGTTTTTGCTCTTACCTCTGAAGCAATTTGACATGTCCTAACTAATTTTCACAAACTTCACTCTGTTACCTGCTTATATCATAATTTAACCTCATTAGACATTTAGGTTATTTCCAAGTTTAGAACGTTAATAAAGCTACAGAGACTATGTTTCTGTGTTTCTCTGATTATGCTGAAGACAAATTCCAAGCAGCAGAATTACTGGGTGAGTGGGTTTGGGTCCATATTGCCAGGCTGTACTCCCGAAACATCAGGCCAACGTGTGCTCCACAGGATGGGGGAGGCCCGCTTCACTGTGTCTTCACCAGCATTAGGCACTATTATAACTAGAATATTTCCCGTGAGAGGTGGGAAAGGACTCATTTCCAGTTACATTTCTTTCTTTCTTTTTTTATTTTAAACACTTTTTGGATGTGGACCACTTTTAAAGTCTTTATTGAATCTGTTACAATATTGCTTCTGTTTTATGTTTTGGTTTTTTGGCTGTGAGACATGTGGGATCTTAGCTCCCCGACCAGGAATTGAACCTGCACCCCCTACATTGGAAGGCGAAGTCTTAACCACTGGACCACCAGGGAAGTCCCATTTCAGTTACATTTCTATGATCACTAATGCAGCTTACTTTTCCCCCATGTTTACTGGCCATTTATATTTCTTTTTGAATTATCACTTATTTTTTGTCCATTTTTTCTATGTATTTCTGTTCTTAAAGAGAAATAAGACCTGCTCTTATTAAGTGGTACAAACTATTGATACTATGTATAAAATAAATAAGCTACAAGGTTATATTGTACAGCACAGGGAATATAGCCAATATTTTATAATAACTTTAAATGGAGTATAGGCTATATAAAAATATTAAATCACTATGTTACACACCTGAAACTAATATAATATTGTAAATCAACTAAATTTCAATTTAAAAAAAGAACTGTTCTTATTGATTTGAAAGTGCTCTTTGTGTGGTAAGGATATTAACTATGTGAATTAAAACTGAACGCTATAAAAGCCTAATGGAGGGACTTCATTGGTGGCACAGTGGTGAAGAATCCACCTGCCAATGCGGGGACACGCCTTCAAGCCCCACATGCCACGGAGCAACTAAGCCCGTACACCACAACTACTGAGCCTGCGTTCTAGAGCCTGTGAGACACAACTAATGAGCCTGCATGCCACAACTACTGAAGCCAGCGTGCTACAACTACTGACCAGCGCGCTTAGAGCCCATGCTCCACAACAAGAGAAGCTGCCGCAATTAGAAGCCCGTGCACTGCAACGAAGACCCAATGCAGCCAAAAGTAAATAAATAAATATAAAAAATAATTTAAAAAAACGTCCTATTGAGGTGGCAGCTAATTGGGAGTGGGGGGGAGGGGGAATTGGAGGAAGGTGGTAAAAGGTACAAACTTCCAGTTGTAAGATAAATAAGCACCAGGGATGCAATGTACAACATGATAAATTTAATTAACACTGCTCTATGTTACATATGAAAGTTGTTAAGAGTAAATCCTAAGAGTTCTCATCACAAGGGAAAAATATTTTTTTCTTTTTCTTTTCTTTTGTATCTGTGAGATGATGGATGTTCACTAAACCTATTGTGGTTCATTTCATGATGTTTGCAAGTCAAATCATTATGCTGTACACCTTAAACTTATACAGTGCTGTATGTCAATTATATCTCAATAAAAGCGGAGGAAAAAGAAATATTAAAAAAAAAAAAGTAAACTTAATCAGGTACCCACTTTCCCAGGAAAAAAAAGTAGTGACTGTATATTTTCCGGGTCCATGGCAAATATTTTCCCCAATCTAGCCTTTGACTTTTTTAAAATATTTTTTTCAGTTGAAGTATAGTCAGGACTTCCCTGGTGGTCCAGTGGTTAAGACTCCATGCTCCCAATGCAGGGGGCCCAGGTTTGATCCCTGGTCAGGAAACTAGATCCCACATGCCACAACTAAGAGCATGCATGCTGCAAGTAAGACCTGGTGCAGCCAATAAATAAGTAAATTTTTTTAAAATAAATAAATAAATTGAAATATAGTTGATTTACAATGTTTCAAGTATACAGTAAAGTGATTAAGTTATATATATATAATATATATATTCTTTTTCAAATTCTTTTCCAATATAGGTTATTACAAGATATTGAATATAGTTCCCTGTGCTATACAGTAGGTCTTTGTTGGTCTTCTATTTCATTTATAATAGTGTGTATAGGTTAAATCCCAATTCCTAATTTATGCCCCCCGCTTCCCCTTTGGTAACCATAAGTTTGTTTTCTATGTCTGTGAGTCTATTTCTGTTTTGTAAATAAGTTCATTTGTATCATTTTTTCCTTTAATTTGTTTTTTTAATATAGTTTTTGGCTGCGTTGGGTCTTCATTGCTGTGCACAGGCTTCCTCTAGTTGCAGCGAGCGGGGGCTACTCTTTGTTGTGGTGCGCGGGCTTCTCATTGTGGTGGCTTCTCTTGTTTTGGATCATGGGCTCTAGGTGCACGAGCTTCAGTAGCTGTGGCACACGGGCTCAGTAGTGTGGCGCACGGGCTTAGTTGCTCTGCATGGGCTTAGCTGCTCCGCAACATGTGGGATCTTCCTGGACTAGGGATCAAACTCCTGTCCCCTTCATTGGCAGGCAGATTCTTAACCACTGCACCACCAGGGAAGTCCCTGTATCATTTGTTAAGATTCCCCATAATAAGTGATATCATGAGATATTTGTCTTTCTCTGTCTGATTTACTTCAGTTAGTATGATAATCTCTAGATCCATCCATGTTGCTGCAAATGGCATTATTTCATTCTTTTTTATGGCTGACTAATATATATACCACATCTTTATCCATTCATCTGTTGATGGACATTTAGGTTGCTTCTTGGCTATTATAAATAGTGCTGTTATGAACACTGGGGTGCATATATCTTTTTGAATTATAGTTTTCTCCAGGTATATGCCCAGAAGTAGGATTGCTGGATCATATGGAAACTCTATTTTTAGTTTTTTAAGGAACCTCCATGCTGTTCTACATAGTGGCTGTATCAATTTACATTCGCACCAACAGTGTAGGAAGGTTCCTTTTCATCCTTAGACTTTTTTGTGTGTGTGTGGTACGCGGGCCTCTCGCTGTTGTGGCCTCTCCCGTTGCGGAGCACAGGCTCCGGACGCGCAGGCTCAGCGGCCATGGCTCACGGGCCCAGCCGCTCCGCGGCATGTGGGATCTTCCCGGACCTGGGCACGAACCCCTGTCCCCTGCATCGGCAGGCGGACTCTCAACCACTGTGCCACCAGGGAAGCCCCATCCTTAGACTTTTAAAAGGATTCTCCACATTAAAATTGTAATAAACATTTACGTGGCCAACTCCATCCCTCCTTTCCCAACGGAGTTGGTATTGCTTTTATGCTTACACACAAACAGGCTAATACTTTCTTGTACCTGCCTGTCCCCATCCACACCACAGCCCCATGCAGATCCCACCTGTGTGCCCAGGACCAGCCTCTGCAGATCACCTGGGGCTGTTTCAGAGGGAGGTGAAGTACAGGAAGCAAGCGTGGCACTCAATCCCTATCGTCAAGTCCCCCAACCTCCTGGATGCCAAAGAGCCAGCGAGGTGACTCCCCACGCCCCCTGCCTGGCCACCTCGCCTTATGTGTAGGGGCTACAGCAGGACGCATTCTGTCCATGGTGAAGGGATGCACCCTACCTGGGTGAGCACGTAGTCCTTCTGGGTTAGGTTCCAAAGGATTTCAAAGTGATCCACATCATGGAGCTCTTCAAAGGAGACTTTCCACCCTCCTCGGCGCAGAGTCTGAGTAGGAGAAACGAGGGAAGAGGAAGCATGAGGCTGCGGGGGGCTGGGGGGAGAGGGGCTCTCGCAGCTGCCTGGCACATACCGGGTGCTAAGTATTTATTGAAGAAATGACTGGTATCGTGGGGTCCGTTTGGGTGAAATAAACAGGAAGATAATAAGACTGCATGACCCTCAACCTCGAGCCAAAAGCGGGGTGCTGGGGGTACCTGATGAAGTTCCCTGGACTGTCGGTGGAATTCGGGGCTGTCGTGTTGGCCCACAGTCACCAGGATGCGGCAGGCTGGATCCACAGGCTGTGTCGGGGCTGTCTTCAGGTGCCACTGTGGGCTGTTCCTCTGAGCATCCTCCCTGGTGCAGGGAGTAAGTGTGGTCAGGACAGACAGCAGCCTTTGCTGCACCCCTGGCCCTCCTCGCAGGCCACAGGCCAGCTGGGGGACGAGCGGACAAGTGACTCACAGGGTTGTGAGGAGAGAGGCATTCTCAGAGGTGTGCATGACAGGCTCCAGGTCATAGATCCCACTCACCAGGAAGAAGCCTGTGAAGGTAAGGAACAGTCACAGAGCCAGGCTGCAGGTGGGGCAAGATGGGGCCAGCCCGCCTCCAGGGCCAGTGGGGCAAGGCCAGGGTAGGGGGCAGAGAAGCAGCAAAGCAGGCCCTGCTCCCCAGGCTCAAAGCCCCGAGGTCAAGCTACTCACAGCTGTTGAAATTTCAAGCAGCTGTTACAGACCCTCAGGCCCATCAGGGGAGGGTGAATGCTGCCCAGCCAGGCTCAGTCCCCGTGGAAACCTTTGAGGTTGGGCGTGACTCCATGCTTGGTCCAGTTGGCCAGGAGCATCATGGCGGCGAGGTGAGCCCCAGCTGAGTGTCCGCACAGGTAAATTCCCCTTGGGTGGGTCAGAGCAGAGAGCTGGGTTTGCATCCAGTATAACCAAAGCAACAGGCCAGTATCAAGGAGTCCCAATTTGCCTTTTGCTCCAAAGCCAGAGGGGGCAGTTGGGCTGCATCCAAGATTAGTCCACTGTCCTCCCACTCAGTCTGACAAAAGGAAAATCTACAGCGATACCCACTGGTTGCCTGGATACTGTTTCTGGACAAACACGATGCTCTGGGTCACCTGGGCTACCATCTGGTCCAGGGTGCCTGTGCAGAGGGTAGGCGCTATGTCAGGCTCCGCCGGGGGCCCTCTCCCCTCCAAAGCCCACCAGCCCTTGCACCTGCAAGACTACCCTCATTACCTTTGGGGGCAACGTCATAGGCCACTATCACCACAGCCACTCCCTGTGCTGTCAGTGGGCCGACCATGAAGGCTGACGAGTCTTTACTGCAGAAGGAGACAAAGACGTGACAACTGGAGGCCACTTGGCCACTAGGCTGCTTCTGTGTCCTGTCCACCCAGGGCACTGTCGCTCTCTGACCTGGTGCAGTAAGGGAAGAAGGGAGGCTTTGTCCTTGCGACATCACATGCTAGCTATGGGACCCTAGAGACTATATTTAACCTCTGAGCCTAATTTCCTTCTCTGTAAAATAGGAACAATTATGTTTTTTCTCTTAGGGGGCTGTTTTTGAGAATTGAAGGAGGTGAGACATGTAGAGAGCTTCAGAAAGCAAAGGGTAAAACTGCAATAAATGTAGCATTGAGATGATATGCTTGAAGAGCAGTAGGTCCTATAACAGGCAACGCCTTAGTAAGATCCTAGGGAACAACAGTGTCCCTGAAGATCCCAAATTCCCCTCTGCTTATCTTAGGATGCCCCATGGTCCCAGTTTGCCTGGGACTCTCTCTTTTTTTACCACTGAAAACCCCAGGTCCTGGGAAACCACTCACTTCTGAGCAAACAGGGATGGTGAGTCACTGTGGTTTTCCATTTGATTAGAGTAGACTGAACAGGCTTTTCACTGGGTATAGTGGATCCAATAGTGTCCCCCCAAAAAACATGTCCAAATCCTACACCCCCATACCTGCAAATGTGCCCTTATTTGGAATAGGGGCTATGCAGATATAATTCAGAATCTTGAGACGGCATCATCCCAGATTTAGGATGGGCCTTAAATCAAATGCCTGGTGACATTGTAAAAGAAAGGAGAGGGAAGATTGAAATACAGACACACGAAGACCCTGTGAAGATGAAAGTTGAGGTTGAAGTGATGCGGTCACAAGGCGAGAAAGACCCGGACACCCCAGAAGCTGCAAGAGGTAAGAACGGGTCCTCCCCAGAGCCTTCAGAGGGAGCGTGGCCCTGCCCACACCTTGAAGAATTTCAGATTTCTGGCCTCCAGAACTGTGAGGTAAGACATTTCTGTTGTCGGAGCCCCCAAGTTTGTGGTAAGTTGTTGCAGCAGCCCTAGGAAATGAAGAGTCCAGGCAAAGATGAATCTCCCTTTTTCTCCATTCATCCAAATCCCCCGACTCACCTTCCGCTCTGCCAGTATCCTCCATGAAAAAACACGAGGAACGGCAAGGCTGTAGGACAAGACAAAGGGCGTGTGGGCCAAGGCAGAGCTCCCAGCTGAGATCCATGGGGGACCACTAGCCCCCGCTTACCTTCAGACACTGCCTCAGGAAAGTAGATGTCCAGTTTCTCCCCTTCGCCGTCTCCATAGGGGACATCGAGCAGGTTCCTCCCGGTGGCCTGGGCCCTCTTGGTAGCTGTCTCCAGAAATGGACAAGTCGCTGTCAGCACAACCTCAGGCAGAACCTTTTTGCCGAAAGCCCCTTTGGGTTGACCAGTTAGCTCCAGCTATCAGTGCTTCCCCAAGTCCTCATGGTAATCGGGGCTGGGGGTCTGAAGCATCCCACAGGTGCATAGTTACAAAGAAATCAGACTGGCCCATCCAAGTGGGGGCCAGAACTATCTGTGACGTCTGTCTCTGGTGAGCTGGCAGTTCTGATGGGCACCATTTCGACCACTACTTTATTACATGCTTATTATGTGTGTTACACTTGGCTATGTGCTCTGGGAAGTATAAACTTTTCCAAGTATTTGGAAAAATAACCTTCTAGGAACTAAGATATAAAATCACTTGAAATAAATAGATAATAAAGCAATATGAATATATAATTGAGCACCATGATGGGAGAGGTCAGAGGGATGTGAAAATTGGCTAGGACTGGGGTCAGGAGAAAGGAGGAAGTACATTTACGTAATTTACCGTAAGTAAATTAAATACCAAAGGCAAAGGCCTAGAGGTGGGATGGGACTCTGTATGTTCATGTTGCAGTAAACAATGTCCCCTCAAGGCCCCACTTCGATCACTGAAACCCAGGAAGCTCAGCTCCCTCCACCACTGGGTGCCAGAGAGTGTAAACTGGTAAGTTCTTCCTGGGGGGCAACTTGGAAATATGTATCAAAGCCCAAGAAGATCATATTCCTTGATGCATAAGTCCTTATCCATACATTTATTATAAGGAAATAATCAGAAGTATTCTTAAGGACTTGTTTTAAAGATGCCCACACTAATGCTATTTATGACAGCAAAACATTGGACACAGCCCCAGTGATCTACAATAGAAAACAGGTAAAATACATTATGGTATATCCCCTTTCTCTCCTTTATTTATTTATTTAAAATTTTTTATTTTATTTTTTAAAATTTATTTATTTATTTTTGGCTGCATTGTGTCATCATTGCTGCACGTGGGCTTTCTCTAGTTGTGGCGAGTGGGGGCTACTCTTTGTTGCCATGCGCAGGCTTCTCATTACAGTGGCTTCTCTTGTTGCGGAGCACGGGCTCCAGGCGTGCAGGCTTCAGTAGTTGTGGCTCGCGGGCTCAGTGGTTGTGGCTCACGGGCTCTAGAGCACAGGCTCAATAGTTGTGGTGCATGGGCTTAGTTGCTCCGAGGCATGTGGGATCCTCCTGGAGCAGGGCTCGAACCCATGTCCCCTGCATTAGCAGGCGGATTCTCAACCACTGAGCCACCAGGGAAGCCCCACTCCTTTATTTTTTATCCCAGCATTCATTAATCCTTCATATATTTTTTACTTGTTTACTGTCTGTCTGTCACCCTAACTAGAACATGAGCTCTGAGAAGACAAGGGCTTTGCTTTGCCCACCTCTGTACACCCAGGACCTGGTACATCATAACCACTTAAAAGAAAATTGTGTAGGGAATTCCCTGGTGGTCCAGTGGTTAGAACTCGCACTTTCACTGCCGAGGGCCTGCGTTCAATCCCTGGTCAGGGAACTAAGATCCCAGAAGCCGTGTGGCGCAGCCAAAAAAAAAAAAGAAAACTGTGCTGCTCTGTGGTGACCTAAATGGGAAGGAAATCCAAAAAAGAGGGGATACGTGTATATGTGTAGCTGATTCATTTTGCTGTACAGCAGAAACTAACACAACATTGTAAAGCAACTATACTCCAATAAAAATTAATTTTTAAAAAGAAAAGTGTGTAAAAAAAAGAAAGAAAAAGAAAATTATGTAATGAATAAATATTTCAGTAAGTAGTGTTGGGTCTATTGAATATCTGAAGGGAGAAAAAAATAGTTTCCTGATCCCTACCTCACACCACACCAGACCAATTCCAGATGGACCAGATGAAAGTGAAAACAATAAAGCTTTTAGAAAAGGAAATAGGAAATCCTAATGACCTTGGACTAGGCAAAGATTACACAAACAGGACCCAAAATGCATTAATCAAAAAGGAAATACTGGAGGGAGAGTATTTTGCCATGTAAAGAGCGAAAGCAGGTTACGCAAATACCATACAGCACGAACACTGCAATCTTTCTGATACTGAAGATTGGTGGCAAGAGACCTTCAACTTGGGATCCCTGTCCCTGGAAGCCTCCAGATCCCCAACCTCGGTGGCCACGGTTCCCCCGCCCACCGGCCCCTTCCCAAAAATACTCACCAGGGCTCCCTTGGGTTGGGTGATTCTGCAATTCCAGAAAGGGCAAACTAGGTAGATGAAGATAGTTTGCATAGATCGTGTTTATGCAAGTGTGAATAAACTGTTAAAATGGGCCGCCTCCGTTTCTGCTGGACTGCTCAAGGCCAAGAGAAATAAAAATGGTGGCAGGTGCCAAGTTTCCCACGTACCTAAAGCAGGGACCAGGCTGCCTCTGCAGGACAGGTGAGGTGGCTGAAAAACCGATTTTGCCATCACCAACACCCCACCCTTGAGTGAGGGAACAAGGCCAGGGGGAGGCTTCTTAGGAAAGGGATGAGGCTGGCTGTGTTCTGTGGGTTCCCACTCCCTCTCCCATGGAGGGGTGGAAGGGGGCTTCCCGTCTCCTAAAGCTTCAAGCGACCAACTGCTCAGAGCCTGATGTGTGACTTCTACAAGGATCAGACCCAAACAGGCTTCACCTGCCCCCAGGTGCCACGCTGGGTGCAGACCACACTGCAGGACACCCTTAACTGAATCAATCCATTATAAATAGGTACGTTTTACTTGATTAGAACCATGAGATTCTGTTAAGCAGATCAAATGCATTGCATTTGCGATTATAATTTGAAGTGCTTTTTTCAGAATTCCATCACATCTTGTAAGTTGCGTTGAAAAGTTGACGGGAATTTAATCTGTGAAAGTTATGAGCTATCTGAGCATTAACTTAAAAAAATAAATGAAATGCCGTTCATTTTTCTTTTGAAGAAATAATATGTTTATACGGTTAAAAAATATACAACAGGCATTTGCATGAAATATCCCTGCCAAGGTGACTGTTGTTATTAATACGGATATGGACTCTCTCTCCCTTTAATCCAAAGGGCAGCGTATGAAATACATTTCTGCCCTGCCTGTTTCAATTCATCTTTCTTGGAGAGCTTTCCCAATCAGTACATAGACAGCTTCCTCGTTCTTTTCTTTTTTTCATAAAGTTAACTTGCTATTCCATCCTATGGCTGCACCTTAATTTATTTAACCAGTAGTGACACTTTTTTTTTTTTTTTTTTTTTGCAGTACGCGGGCCTCTCACTGTTATGGCCTCTCCCGTTGCGGAGCACAGGCTCCGGACGCACAGGCTCAGCGGCCATGGCTCACGGGCCCAGCCGCTCCATGGCATGTGGGATCTTCCTGGACCGGGGTACGAACCCACATCCCCTGCATCAGCAGGCGGACTCTCAACCACTGCGCCACCAGGGAAGCCCAGTAGTGACACTTTTTAGGGCAAGCAAACCACATCTGATCATCAGTAAATTCTCCTGGCTCCCTCTCTGCTTATCCTGAATCCTGAGTCTTCTCCCCACCCCTACTGAGACCACCCTGGAACCCCTTCACTACTCCCTTGGAAGCAGGGACAGTCCCTCTCCACTCCCTTGCTTTCACCAGGGCTCCATCCAGCCACACGTGTGTGCCGGGTATAACTAGCATCACATCCTGTTGATCTGAGGCGCAAATTCCATCGGAGCCTCGCGTCTTAGTTGCTGAGGCTGCCTTAACGAAATGCCATACAGTGGGGGGGCTTCGACGACAGACATTTTTTTCGCCCAGTTCTGGACACTGGAAGGCAGGGTCAAGGTGCCAGGTGGGGTGATGTCTGGTGAGGGCCCTCCCCAGGGGTGGCAGATGACCTTCTCGCTGTGCGCTCCCGTGGCCTCTTTGTGCTTGGGAGGAGCTCTCCCTCTCTAGGGGGAGGAACCCTCTGTGTCTCTTCTAATAATCCTACTGGATCAGGACCCCATCCTTACGACCTCATTTAACCTTCATTACTTCCTTAGAGGCCCCATCCATCTCTAAACACAGCTACAGTAGGGGTTAGGGCTTCTACACGTGAATTTTGGGGAGACACAAAATTCGGTCCATAACAGCCCCCACACTCCCCCCAAAGGCCCTGGAGCTCGCCTTCTCTGAGGGGTTTGCCAACCACCCTCCCAGCAGCACTGTGTGAAGGTGTTTGTTCCCGACAAGCTCGTCAACACAGCAGGCTCAGCAAAGGGGAGCAACTTAATTAACGCAAGGGTTCTGGAAGTGTACGTGGACCAACAAGATTTATGCTGTGCCAAAAGTAAGAAAAAGATGATGCAATTTATGCCCTAAGCTGAAGAGCAATTAAAACCAAGCAGCTATCGATATTCGTTATCATGCATAAAAAAGTCTTCCTCCAGTATTAAAAAACCCAACCGACCCTGAGCCAGAGAAATTGCCTCTCTCCAGGAGGTGGTATGACGGTGATGGCGGGCAGCTGGCTGCAAGGACAGAGAATGGGGGGACCCACTGCCTCCTCCAGAGCGTGAATCCTGCCAGCCCTCCAGGCGCTGCACTTACAGGCAGCACAGGAGGGCTTCAACAAGACACCCCAGCATTAACCCTATTACAAACTTCCTCTTTTGAAAAAGCAAAACTTCGGTTTCTATTAATCACAGTCCAAAGTGTCACAGCTCTTACAGAGAGAAACTCCAGGTCCCTGGACCCAACTGAGCATCGTGTTAGAGCAATTAGGGGGAGCAGGGGCCTAGAGACTAATGCAGGTGTGGGGCGGGGAGACCCATCAGACAGTCACGGAGAGCTGAAGACCAAGGGTTCATCACGTCTGGGGCAGCAATTTAAGAGGAGGCTGGGGCCCATCAGCCTCCATCTAGTTTCAGAACTATTCTCCCCCAGTCTTTTAATTCATTTAGCAAACAAATACTTATATAAGCAGCAGCCTTGTGCCCATTTTGGAATATCGTAGTGACAAAATAATAAAAAAAATCCAAATCACATGTGCCTTACCCCTTAGTGAGGGGGACAAGCAGTTACAGAAAGATGTCAGGTGGTAACATGTGCTACAAAAATGAGCCAGAATCTGAAAAGGCTACATAGTGTATGATTCCAACTATAGGACATTCTGGAAAAGGTGAAACCACGGAAACAGTGAAAAGATCAGTGGCTTCTAGGGAGTGGGTGGGGAGGGGGGAGAGGGATGAATATGTAGAATACGGGATTTTTAGAGCAGTGAACACATATTGGGAGCCATTGTCTGCCAGAACCAGTGGACAAGCTGGAGAAGTTGGGGGAGGTCAGTGGGGTGGGGTTCTGGGGCTCAGTCACAGTGAGTTCGTAGCCAAATCTGTGATAACCAAAGTCAGAGAAAAACCAAGTTTCCCAGGAGGAGGGAGTGGAAACCAGCAGAGCGGCACAGGCTGAAGAAGTGGAGAGGGGGGTGGTCAGGAGAGAAGACAAAGGCCCCCCCTTCTTCCCAGCACCTAGCACAGTGCCCCCGGGGCATGAGGACTTGCAGATGGACAGAGAGAAGTGGTAGTGCTGCAAAAGATTAAAAATAATTTATTGAGGTGAAACTCACATAACAAAATTAACTACTTTAGGGACTTCCCTGGTAGCGCAGTGGTTAAGAATCTGCCTGCCAATGCAGGGGACACAGGTTCGATCCCTGGTCCGGGAAGATCCCACATGCCATGGAGCAACTAAGCCCATGAACCACAACTACTGAGCTTGTGCTCTAGAGCCCGCGAGCCACAACTACTGAGCCCGCGTGCCACAACTGCTGAAGCCCGCGCTCCGCAACAAGAGAAGCCACCGCAATGAGAAGCCCGTGCACCGCCACGAGGAGTAGCCCCCCCACTCGCTGCAACTAGAGAAAGCCCGCATGCAGCAACAAAGACCCGACGCAGCCAAAAATAAATAAATAAACAAATTTTTAAAAAATTAACCATTTTAAAGTGAACAATTCAGTGGCACTTAGCACATTCACAATGTCATGCAACCATCACCTCTATCTAGTTCCAAAACATTTTCATCACCCCAGAAGAACACCCCCTACCCGTTAAGCAGTGTCTCCCCAAACCCCCCTTACCCCAGACACTGTAACCACTAACTGCTTTCTGTTCCTACGGATTTCCCTATTCTGGACATTTCACCTAAATGTGACCTTTTGTTCCTGGCTTCCTTCACTGAGCATTGTGTTTTCAGGGTCCATCCATGTTCTAGTAGGTATCAGTACCTCATTACTTTTTAGGGCCAAAAACTATTCCATTGTATGGACATATCACATTTTGTATATCCATTCATCTGTGGATGAACATTTGGGCTGCTTCCACCTTTTGGCAACCGTGAGTAATGCTATGAACATGTGTGTACAAGTACTTGTTTGAGAACTTATTTTCAGTTCCTTTGGGTTAGAAAGATTTTTTTTTTTTCCGTTGGTACGCGGGCCTCTCACTGTTGTGGCCTCTCCCGTTGCGGAGCACAGGCTCCGGACGCGCAGGCTCAGTGGCCATGGCTCACGGGCCCAGCCACTCCACGGCATGTGGGATCTTCCCAGACTGGGGCACGAACCAGTGTCCCCTGCATCGGCAGGCGGACTCTCAACCACTGTGCCACCAGGGAAGCCCTGGGTTAGAAAGAATTTTTAAAATTGAAGTGTAGTTGACTTACAATATTATATTAGTTTCAGGTGTACAACTCAGTGATTCAACGTTTTATAGATTACACTCCATTTAAAGTTATTACAAAACAATGGCTATATTTCCCTGTGCTATACAATATATCCTGTTGTTTCTCCATTTTATACATAGTATCTCTTCTAGAAATAATTTTTAAGGCTGTTTATGCTATTAAAAACAAGATTGCACATTATAAGTACAGAACACTTTCTCCTAGGAGAAAAAAAGACTATAAGAAATGATCTCACAGTGTTAACAATGGGTGACAATTATTGACGGTTTTATTTTCTAAAATCCTTTTCAATCAGCAAATGCTCCTTTTGTAATCAGAAAACAATTGTTGCCTAAAAATAGCCAACCTCAGAGAGTGCAGAGCAGGGCTATTATAATGTGGTCTGTGGACAATGGGTGTCCCACACGGCTTGCTACTGGTCCATGATGAACTAAGTAAAAAGGTGGAAGTAAACATTTGGAATACATGCAGTTTGGTAGAATGGCTGTGTCTATCGAACTTAACAAGAAATTAGGGCTTTCAAACAAAAACTTGTACATGAATGTTCACAACAGCACTTTTCACAATCGCCAAAAGGTGGAAACAGCCCAAATGTCCATCAGCGGATGAATGGATAAACAAAACGTGGTCCATCCATACAATGGAAAATTATTCATTCATAGAAAGGAATGAAGCACTGATTTTCTATAACATGGTTGGACCTTGGAAACATTATGCGAAGGGAAAGCCACCAGACACAAAAGACCACATCTTGTAGGATTCCATTTATACGAAACGTCCAGAATAGGAAAATCCACAGAGACAGAAAGCAGTCAGTGGCTGCCAGGGGGCTGCTTAACGGGTAGGGGCTTTCCTTCTGGGGTGATGAAAATGTGTTGGAACCAGGTAGAGGAGATGGTTGTACAACATCGTTAAGGTACTAAATGCTGCTGAATTGTACACTTTACAATGGTTAAAGTGGTACATTTTATGTTATGTGTATTTTATCACAGTAAAACAAAATTGGGGCCTGTATTTTGCGTGCCTTTGTTTTCTTCCTTTGGTTTTTCTGATGGAGAGGAAAAAGCACAACTCAGCCTTGAAAGGCAGGAGGGGACCTCAGAGAGGCTCTCAGTCGCAGGGGCTGTCAATCGCGAGGCCCCACCCACCTCACTGGTGATCGGTGCTCCTTGGGCGAGGCGTGGTTTGGGGGAATGGGAGTTTGGAACTGTGCCCCAAGCCAGGTTATACATATACCTCCTTTAGTTTCTTGTACAATGTGTTTTTACTGAGTCTTGTTAATCAAATTTAATAGCTACTGGTAGAGGAAACAGTTCTTCAAACCTTCCTCTGCCGGTGCTCACCCAACTGTCCCCAGGTGCCCAGCCTGAGAGAGGCCAGGCCTTGGTGGAGGATAAAAGTGACCTACTCATTGGAAGAGGGCAGTCCCCACTGCAAGTTCCAGGTCGACGCTGTTAGAATGAATACAGATCAAAAGAAAAACAATTTCATTCTCCGTAGTGCAAAAAAGGAAAAGAGAGTTTACCTTCCTCCCATTTCTTAGAGCATTTATTTTTAGGAGACCTCATCAAATATCCTTTCTCTACCCCTTTGGGAATGTGTGTAAATATTTTATCTATCTATCTATCTATCTATCTATCGCTGCACGGCTTGTGGGATCTTAGTTCGCATACCGGGGACTGAACCCCGGCCCTTCGCGTGGAGTCCTAACCACTGGACTGCCAGGGAATTCCCCATATGTAAATATTTTTTAAAGCTAAAAGAGTCTCTTGCCAGTTTTACAACCTAGGAATATTCTTCTCAAAGACCTGGGAGCTCTCCCTTTGAAATATAATTATCGAGCAAGATACCCCATGGGAGAGAAGGACCCTAACTTCTGCAGGCACCTGGCTCCAAGTTGCAAAACCACCTCTTGCCTTAAGGATATGGGAATTTCTCGTCTTCCTCTGGATAAAGGCAATTTGCAAACACAGATGGCCACCCTTGTGGAATTAGGATGGACTAAGGCGGTAGCTAGTGCCCTCAGGTCCTCTTGCTTGCACACAGGTATGCTGATTTTGAGAACAGGTATGCCCTAGGGATATAAGCCTGGCTGTATAAAAGGGTGAGGTTTCTTTCTGGTTGTGCAATCTCCTTACTCAATTAAAAATCATGTTTTCTTTCTCTTCTACCTCTGTGGAGAGGTTTTCTGGGTTGGCGGGGGATTCCACTGTTCATTTTTTCCGCTTTACATTCCTTCGCCATCTCCTGGGAGTTTGACTCCAAGGAGGCAATCTGCAAGTCCAGAGGTCTGGGGAACTCCACCAAGAGAGGCAGCTGGTGGGCACTCACCAACGCCACCTGCCTGTCATCACCCCTTGTCAGCCTGCTCCCCTCTTACCTGGAAGCTCAGCTCTGGGAAGTGGTGACTGTCCCTAGCCACGTGAGCTTGGGTGAGTTGTTTAACCTCATCATGCAGGACTAGGATGGGGTGAGTGAGACACCTCAGGCACAGCATGGGGCAGGGCACCAAAGACTCAGTAATGAGGATCGCTATGGGCTGAAGGCCTGTGTCTCCCAAAAATTCATACCCTATTTTGATGGTGACTTTGGGAGGTAATTAGGTTTAGTTGAGGTCATGAGGGTAGAGCCCTTGTGATGAGATTAGTGGCCTTATAAGAAGAGGAAGAGCAAGTGTTTCTTTCTCTCTCTTTCTGCCATGTGAGGATGCAGGGGAAAGGGGTCTATCTGCAAGCCAGGAAGAGTACCCTCACCAAGGAACCAAATCATTTGGCACCTTTTTTTTTTTTTTTTTTCAGTTGGCACGTTGATCTTGGGCTTCTCAGCCTCCAGAACTGGGAGAAAGAGATTCCTATTGTTTAAACCACCCAGCCTATGGCATTTTGTTATGGCAGCCTGAGCTGACCAATACAAAGATAACATTTAAGTGCAATATTTTTAAAAATCAGAATTAATGCCAAAAAGTCCACAATGAAAGAAATATCAACATTTCCAATAGAGACAGCCTCCAACCCTGCGCATGCATGGCTGCGCCCACTCGTCTGGCCCTGATGCCCCCCCTGTTGTCGCACTCACCTTCTTCACCAATGAAATAGGGCAGATGCACCTGCGGCACCTCTGGGCCAGCTGGAGCATCGAAAATAGGAAGGGAGGTAGGATGTGAATGTAAAGCTGTCCATAGGGCTTCTCAGGAGGGATTGCTAAAGACAGTCTCTGAGGGCAACAGCCTCAGAGTCTCTTCTAAGCCCTTGCTTCTTATGAGAGACTCCCTTTCTCTACAGGGTCAGCTCTTTTCTCCCTCAAGACAATTACAATAGACAAACAGGTTTTCTACCAGCTCATGTAGGTTTCTCTGCACACTCAAATATATATTGAGTATATAGAGACATATTTGGTGCAGAGCTAGGCACAGTAGGGGACTCTGAAGAGCCCAGGACACAGCTCCACCCCCTATCAGGACAGGGAGGGCGCTGAAATGTGCTGGAACCAACCCCCACTAGCCTGTCCCTCCAGCTGGCTTATCTCAGTGTAGAGAACCACCAACCCTGGGAGCTCCAGTCAGCCTGCTGACACAAAGCTCATTTGCCAACATCCAGTTTTCCGACTGGGAGGAGAGGCTGGCTGCTCCCTCACCCACACATCCCCCATGGAGCCCACCTGCCCAACCCACTCAAAAGGTGGCAGCACAACACTCTAGAGACCCAGGGCTGGGATGGGAATTAACCTTGAGACTTCACTAGCTTACAGATTCCCAAGCCCTGATTTCTCTAAAGAAAAAAAAAAAAGACCTCTTTGCTTTTTGTAGATAGCAACAACATCCCGCATTCAGCAGCCACATTCCTTTTCTCACTCCACTTCCCTGGGCCACTGTGGCCTTAGGGCCTGGGCATAGTTGGCAGGTTGGCTGAGCAGGAGGGGAGGTGGGGCATGGTCACTGCCCCTGCCTTGCCTCCGGCAGTCCTGCAGCGAGGGCTCCGGGGCGCCTGGCCCCGAGCAGATGAGGTGCCTGGACTTTGGGAACTGTCCCGAGAGGCTGGGGCTGGGAGGCCCCTCCTCCCCGCCCTGGCATCCTGAAACACTGCCACATGCTAAAGTCCACCTGAAGCGGCCACAGAGAGAGCCCCCGGTACCTTCGTTTCCTATCTGTGAGTAGGTCCTCAAGGCCTCCTCTGCTCCCAGTCGGACGACCCATCTGCTGGGGGAGTACTGATTCTCCAGCTCCTACGGGACAAAGACACGAAGTTCCATAAGACCTTTGACCTCCACGCAGACTGTGCTCCCGCCCCTCCGCGTGCCTGGAGAAGCCCCTTCCCTGATATCTCAGGCTCTCATAGATGCCCTTAGCTTCCTTCAAGCCCCCCGGTCTCCAGCCTGGCAAGCCACTCCCCACTCTCCCCCCACTAACTAATTAGGCGTTTCAGATACAGCACTGCAGATGCTGCCAGATCCACGGTCTAGAGCAATGGCCATGCCTTTAACCAGCAGGACAGCTTTACAGGGAAATGAGGTCCCATAGATCTGTCCCAGTCAATGCCATCATGGGTACCACTTCCACAGCGGCTAAGGCCACAGGAAGCCAGGGAGCTGGGGTGGCCACTGCAGAGAAAGTGATGTAGAGCTGATGTTCCCTGAAAAGGTATGATTCTGACTGCAGGTGGACGCAGCACAATCGGTGAAACAGAGGTGAAGAGGAAGGAATCAAAGGTCAGTTTGGAAATGTTGACCAGCCAGATTGCTGAAACACAGAGGTGAGGCTGGGAAGCGGGGGCTGGGGGGTGGAGGGTCTTGAATGTCAAGCTAAGATGTTCAGACTTAACACAGAAAGTAATAAGGAACCAGGTTTTGGAGAAAGGGCTCAGAGGCAAAACAACAACAACAAAAAAACAGGTGAAGGCTGGACTGGAGAATTTGAAGACAGGTGGCCTCATGGAAAGGTCTTGGGCTCTGGAATCAGATGGGCTGAGTGCCATCCAAGCTCCATCACTTGCAGGCTCTTTTACCCTGGGCAACTTACTGACAGTCAGTTCCCTCATCTGTATAATGGGCAAAACAATAGTACTTTACTTCATTCACATGACTTATAGCTTTCAGCCTTGTGAGGCTGTATACCTTGTGAGGCTGAAAGCTATAAGGCATGTAAATGAAGTCAAGCTAGCCACTCAAATGTGGGTTTCCCCCTCTTCCCATTGAACGGGGTTCTTGGCCAGGGGTCTTTGGATCTGTACAATCTATGCCCGTCGGATGTTTGCAGTCATACCTTGCACACTCTGTGACTGCTATCATCATCATCTTTTATTATTGCTATTATTTATAATAATGAAAATGCAATGGGTTTCTGAAAGTGCTCTGATATTATAGGTGTGTGTGTGTGTGTGTGTGTCTATGTGTGAGACAGAGAGAGACAGAGACAGAGAGAGACCGAAAAAGAGAGGTTAGGATTTCTTGGGGGCAGTATCTGTAACTGTCACCACATTCTTAGAGGCGTCCGTGACCAGAGAAAGAACCACTACCTGAAATGTAGGAAAACTAGTTAGGAAATTATAACAGAATGATAAGCATAACAAATGCTTTGCATATGTGGTTTCTAACCCCCATAACCTTCCCTCAGTAAATACCAGCCCTCCGGTATTTACTCCTTCAGGTCTGACACATCCTCCAAACATTGCACAACCTCAGATTAAGGTCCAGAACTTCGGCCCCAACCTCATCCCGGTTTATGGGTATTGACATAGCCAGGGCTGGACTTCCCTGGCGCTCCAGTGGTTAGGAATCCGCGCTTCCACTGCAGGGGCACGGGTTCAATCCATGATCAGGGGACTAAGATCCTGCATGCCGCACAGTGAGGCCAAAAAAAAGTAGAAAAACATAGCCAGGGCTTCCATTTCCTCTACCCTTAAAATCAGGCTAGCAAAAGCCTACCTGTGGCGAGAAGTAAAATATCAATAAATCACAGTGCTAAAGCTTTCGGGAGCTGGCACACAGTAGGCTATCAACGGCGCCCACAGGAGTGGTTCTAAACTTTCCTCTCAACCCCCATCTCACCTCTGAAACACACTCCTCAGCCCTAGCCTCTCCCAGTGATCCGCCTACCTCTTTAGACATCCTCTTCCAGGGAGCCCCGCCCTCAGGACCTCCGTCCAAGTCGTCCATCCCGTCCATCCCGCTGTGTACGAGCCGACAGGCGGCCGGGCCGCCTTTTTATGCCAGGAGGGCGGGGCTCTGGTCAGGCCCCGTCCCTGGGAGCCGCGCCCACCGCCCTGGTGAGCTGAGCCTGGTGCGCGCGTTCCCGGTCCCTCCCACGAGGGGGCGGGCTGAGGTCAAATCTCCCGCCGGTCCCACAGCCGCACGCTGATTGGCTCCGGGCCGGCGGCGCCGGCTCCCGATTGGCCCGCGCGCCGGGGATAAAGAAGCAAGGCGCGGGAACCGACGAGAGCCTGCAGGGCGGCGGCGGCGGCGGCGGCGGCGGCGGCGGCGGCGGCGGCGGCGGCGGCCGGGCCCTCGATTTGTGATCTCCCTGAAGGCACCATGAGCTGCATCAACTTGCCCACCGTGCTGCCCGGCTCCCCCAGCAAGACCCGGGGGCAGATCCAGGTGCGGGCCGCGGGGCGGGGTCGGAGTCGTGATCGAGGCCCGGGTGTCCGTGCGCACCGGGGCCCAGTGACCTCTCCTTCTCTCCTAGGTGATTCTCGGACCCATGTTCTCAGGAAAAAGGTAATGGCCTCGCGGGACAGGGGTAGGCCGGGATCTCTTCCTGTACTTCCCTGCTTCTCCTCCAACCCCCAGGACCCCGTCCTCCTCCCATGACGCCCCACGACCCCGAGCCTGCCGCCCCTCTCAGAGCCCCGCTTCTAGAGCAGCCCCCACTGCCCGACCCCGCGTTCGCGCCCAGGATGCCTCTCCTCCGTGGGATCCTACCGGAGGAGAAGCTCCTCCCCTTCCCGTCCGGGTCGGAACCTCTTCCCCTTGGGGTCATTCAACCACCGCTCCTTCCGGGAGCTGGTCACAGCTGCTCACCGTTTAGCCCCTCACTAAAGCCCTCTCTGAAGGGTGCATCTACGGTGGCCAGGCTCTGTGCGCCGTGCAGTATCTGTGGCTTCCTTGCAGTGTATGATTGTTTCCTTAGATGGCCCAGGAGCGTAGTTACTCTCCACACTGAAGAGTCAAGCGCTGGTGCCTTTGCTTCCCTGAAGTGATAGAACCAATCCCAGTGAGCCCACAGTAACTCCCCTGGCCCCCCTTCCTATATGGCGCTGGGGAATCACTCCAGCTCAAATCCCTTGCCCACGACGGTGAGGCTCAGGGTGGGCTCAGGGTGGGCTCTTGGACTCAGAGACAAAGCACTTCCCTTGTTGCACCAAAAGGTTCTGTGAAGTTAGTTCAGGCTATGTGAAGAACTGTAGGGTGAGATTACTTTGGAATGGAATCTGAACCCCTCTCCTGTGCATGTGGTCTTTGCTTTGCCCCCAACAAAATCACTCCTTCAGCCCTTCCCCGAATCACCTGAGGGCCCTTCTTTGCCACCCTCCCCATAGAGAATGACTATCAGCCCAGGCATGCTCCTCCCTCCTGGGTCGAGACTGAACTCTCTGTGTGGGCCTTTTCTGTCCTCACTGGTCCACGCCCTGCCCTGCAGCCTTCCCATCCATTGGTGGGGCTCAGGCTGTATACCCCTAGAAGGCGGTAAGGAGCCCGACTTGTGCTGATGGGGTCTTCCTCGCCCACACTTATGCATGGGCCTTACCTTGCAGTACTGAGCTGATGAGACGGGTCCGTCGCTTCCAGATTGCCCAGTACAAGTGCCTGGTGATCAAATATGCCAAGGATACGCGTTACAGCAGCAACTTCTCCACGCATGACCGGTCAGTCCCTGCCCCTTCTGTCCTGTCCCCACACCTTTTGTGAGAAGGCCAGTGACTGTCAGAACTCTTTAGAGAGGATGGTTAATAATGCTGATGCCAGGCAGTGAACCGTTCAAATCTGCAAACTTTCCAGGTTGCTTGGCAAGGTACCCTAGAACTTGGCCTTTCTTGGGGCTCTAGCCCAGTGGTTCCTAGCGGGACGTGATTCTGCCCGCCAGCGTCTATTTGCAATGTCTGGAGACGTTTTTTAGTTTTCACAACAGGAGGAGGTAAGGGCATGATGGCAACTAGTGGGTAAAGGGCAGGGATGCCACTACATCCTACAATGCACAGACAGCCCCATAACAAAGAATGATCCAGCCCCAAATGTCAGTAATGTCTGGCCAAGGTTGAGAAACCCTGCTCTTGACCTATGTGGAGGTTGCAGACTGGTTTTGCTGGCCTGCAGGCTGAATTTTATTTAAGTTTTTAGTTGGCTTGTCCTTGCTGACTCCCTGTCTCGTGGCCTTTGTGCATCCCCCTTTTATGTTTATCTGCCTGTGTCCTGTGGACATTTCAGCCTGCAGCCTGAGGTTGGGAGGTTAAATTTAGTACCACTCCTGCCGTTCCGTACAGCATTTAGGGCCTGATGGTTTGGAGGCTGAGACTTTTCTCGTCTTCCAGATTCATCCACCTGAGCCCCCAGCATCAAGGCTGTGCTGTGTGTGGCTTCAGGGTGGGAGTGCGGGGGGCTCTGAAGCTGGGCAGGTGGGTGAGGCGGAGAGGGCCCAGGACTTGGAGTTAAGTTAAACGTTGAGTGACGTTTCCTGGACATGTTGCCTGATGCAGGTCATTTACGTCTCCACGTTTGCTTTCTCATCCCTAAAACATAGGTGTCCGCTGCTCAGGACGTGAGAAGTGTCAGGGGAGGACAGTGAAAGCAGTGGAGAAGATTAGAAGTGCAGCTTCTGGGTCTGTCAGATGGGGGTGGAATCCAGGCTCTGCCCCAGTGTCACAAATCCTCTCTAATCTGGGCTGTAGAGGCCCAGACGAGCTGCAGCAGAGGCCTAGCGCTTGGCAGGGGTGATGGTGCTCCAGAGACGCTGCTCTTGCTGAAGCTGGAACCGGCTTGCGTTGCCTGCAGGATCAAAGCAAGATCATCACTAAGTAGTTGTAAAGTTTTACATAAATATATAGCTGCAAAACTGCAGAGCCGTCAGGAAACTCCTAGCTCCTTGGAAGGGTAGTTCAGAGGAGCAGGCAAAAATGGAAACAGAAGAAAATAACATTGCAGAAAAACAGAAACTAGAAGACAAAGAACAGCATTCCTCTTCCAAAAGGCCTGGCTGTGGGGCAGGGTGGGGTCCACCGCGTCATTGAATGCACTGGAACACTCCCACACATGGCCTTTCACTTTCAGACTCTGCTGGGTAGGAACCTCCCCTCAGGACACACGAGGCAGCGGTATGAATGCGGATCTGAATCCTGACTCTGCCCGTTAATAGCTCTATGATCTCTGAGAAATCCTTTAATCAACCAGAGGAGTCAAACGGAGGGAATCCTAGGTCACTGCACTGCTGGTCGGTGCTCGTGGCTTATCTCTGCTGGTGCGCGCGGCGCCTAGTCTTAGATTCTGGCGCTAATGGTCTGCCCGGGGCCATGGTAGGATTTTCATGGGCCCCTTCCTCTATAAAGAAAAAAATAAAAATATATAATTTATGACTGCATTGATATAAAGACAAAGATAATCCAGACTGAGTTACATTTATTCTGATTTTTAGAAGAAATTAAAATGTTTCATTCGTCCCCAAAGCATCATGGGCCCCAGGCACTGTACCTGATGAAGTAACCCTGTCTGCACCCCACCCCACCACACAAACACACACACACACACACACACACACACACACACACAGCAGAGAAGAGCTTTGCATCTGGGTTGAGCTTTACATTGGGCATTGCTAATTTCCAGTCCAAAGTGTGAAGTGAAATAGCTCTTGTTGAATAACTGGTTTTCCAAACAAAGGCCTTTACTCTTCTCCCCAGATGCCTTCCCACAGGTGCTAATTTCTCAAAGCTCTGGGCAGACATCTCAGCCTGCTCTGCAGGTAGGGGTTGCTCATGAGACCATTTCCCTGGCCCCTCATTCTGGTTCCTGGTCTCCTCTGGCTCCCTTCTCTTGCTCACACTCTGGCTTTCTGTCCCCAGGAACACCATGGAGGCCCTACCAGCCTGCGTGCTCCGGGATGTGGCCCAGGAGGCCCTGGGCGTGGCTGTTATAGGCATCGACGAAGGGCAGTTTGTAAGTTGACTTGTCCTGATAGCACTCTTCCTGTGAACTCAACTGTCCCCCTTTTTCCTCTGCTAATTTGGAGGTTATTGGTTCAATTTCTGATATTTTTATAAGGTAAACATTGTTAACTTGCTTTAACTAGTGTCTGAATACCCTTTGAATTCCCTTTACTGCTTTCTGTGTTACTGTTATATAGAATTTATTGTACCTTAAAAAAAAAAAAATTTACAGGACTTCCCTGGTAGCACAGTGGTTAAGAATCCTCCTGCCAATTCAGGGGGCACGGGTTCAAGCCCTGGTCCAGGAAGATCCCACATGCCATGGAGCAACTAAGCCCACGAGCCACAACTACTGAAGCCCGTGCGCCTAGAGCCCGTGCTCCGCAACAAGAGAAGCCACCACAATGAGAAGCCCACGCACCGCAACGAAGAGTAGCCCCTGCTCGCCGCAACTAGAGAAAGCCCGTGCGCAGCAACGAAGACCCAACGCAGCCAAACATAAATAAATAAATAAATAAATTTTTTTTAAAAAAAGAAGCAACATTGAGCTAAACAGAACCAAACCCTCCCTATACACCAGTGTTGAGAAATCAAATTTTTTGTTTACTGTAAAAATAATTTTTTAATATATAGTTTATTTATTTACTTATTTATGTTTGGCTGCATTGGGTCTTCGTTGCTGCGTGCGGGCTTTCTCTAGTTGCGGCGAGCAGGGGCTACTCTTCGTTGCGGTGCGTGGGCTTCTCATTGTGGTGGCTTCTCTTGTTGCGGAGCACGGGCTCTAGGCGCACGGGCTTCAGTAGTTGTGGCTCGTGGGCTCAGTAGCTGTGGCTCGCGGGCTCTAGAGCGCAGGCTCAGCAGTTGTGGCACACGGGCTTTGTGGAATCTTCCCGGACCAGGGCTCGAACCCGTGTCCCCTGCACTGGCAGGTGGATTCTTAATCACTGCACCACCAGGGAAGTCCGCTTCTTTTTTTTGATTTATTTTTTGGCGGTGTTAGGTCTTTGTTGTTGCGCGGGCTTTCTCTGGTTGCGGAGAGCAGGGGCTACCCTTCATTGTGGTGTGCGGGCTTCTCAATGCGATGTCTTCTCTTGTTGTGGAGCACGGGCTCTAGAGCACAGGCTCAGTAGTTGTGGAGCATGGGCTTAGCTGCTCTGCAGCATGAGGGATCTTCCCGGACCAGGGATCGGACCCGTGTCCCCTGCATTGGCAGGCGGATTCTTAACCACTGCGCCACCAGGGAAGTCCCTGCCCCACAGTTCTGTTCCCTGTTTCTATGGCTACTTCCTCCCTGGCCAGCAAGTCAAACTCGAGTTCCCATAACTAGTGTTTATTAAACCTACTGCAGAAACATCACCAATCTTCTGTTCTGCCCTCACCCCTGTGGGTCTTGCTCTGCAAGAAGTTCTGGGGCCCAGAGGTGGCTGCCTCAGTTGCCTCTCAACATCGGACCTGACAAAAGGACTGCCTCTCCCTCCCTTCATCCTTCCCTTGGAGAGTGGTACATCTGAAGACCCCACGCTATAAGCTGAGGGTGCAGTGGTAGGTGGGCAGCTGGATCCTGGGCATGCCAGCCGCACAGTGTCACTCCAAGTGTTGGTCTTACCTCTGTTTCTTTTTAATTTTTTTTTTTTTGTCTGTGCTGGGTCTTAGTTGCAGCACACGGGGTCTTCGTTGCAGCGTGCGGGATCTTTAGTTGCAGCATGTGGGATCCACTTCCCTGACCAGGGATTGAACCCGGGCCCTCAGCAGTGAGAGCGCGGAGACCACTGGGACCACCAGGGAATTCCCTAGGAGGGGTCTGGTTTTGTCTTGACCATCACAGTCACAGAATGGCCTTGCCGGAAGTTCGTATTTATAGATCGGGCTCATATCACGTGCTGTGACCATTTTTTCCTCATCAGCAAATACCTATCCTTATGAACATCCCATGTCTTCCACGAGCTGGCCCCTTGGGTGTGGCACTTACAGGCTGTGACGGACGTGTGTGCGGACATCCTGGCTATTGTCCGGTGTATTGGGGTTTATCTACTAAGTAGAATCACTGGTCAAGGGACCGATCTCATTCATTCAGTAAGTGTTTTCTGAGCTTGTGCTGTGTGGCAGCGATGTTCTAGGTGTTGGGGATACAGCCAGGGTCTCACCCTTGCACTTACATTCTAGTTGGGGGAGAGAAATATGTAAAAGGTGGTGGCAACCGGGGGAGAAAGGCACTGTGAGGGGGTAGAGCTAAGGTGGGGATGATGCTTTATGAGGACGGTCAGAAAGGGGCCAAAAGGAAAGTGGGGTGGAGGTTCCCAGTCAGGAGTGTGCTTTTGGGCATGTCTCAGGAGCAGCCAGGAGGCCAGGGGCTTTGGCCAGGTCAGCGGGAAAGACTTTGGCGGTAACCCTGGGAGAGCCTGGAAGCCGCCCAGGGCATCTCCTCTGCTGGAGGAGCATGGACAGCGTGGGGGGTGGGGGGAGAGGCATCTGGGTGTTTGCGGAAATCCCCGGCGGTGGAGGGCAGGGTGTTGGCGGCTGCATACACACATCCTGTTCCAACTGCCCTTCTCTTTTGTTGCTCGGGTGGCTGACATCATTTTCCCTGTGTTTCTACTTTTGTAAATTGCCTCCTTCTCTTGGTTGATCTTTCCTCTACAGGACATGATGTAATCGGTGCCAGTTTGTCACATGCTGTAAATATTTCTTCCCTGTTTATTTGCCTCTGGATTTGGTCTGTGCATCTCATTTAGTCTCACCATTCATGGTGGAACGGTTGAATGTTTCAGTGTCACGTCCTTCGTTCCTGTCCTCTGTGGCCTTTGCGCCTTCAACACCAGCCTGGCTGCCGGGAAGCCGGGCCTCCACCGGGGCAGGGCTGGGGTGCTTCCCTCGTGCATCATGAGGGCGCCACCTCTCGGCAAGATAAGGACGAGGGTGAAACTACTTCTTGGCTTCCTGATCTCCCCTTTCGGTCCTCTCCCCTCATCAAACCTTGTTCAGGAAGTGGCTCACGGCAGGTCAGCCCAGGTGCTGGATCTGCAGGTGAACCAAATGGGTAGACTTGTCACCATCAAGAAACCCCCCGTTACTTTTCTACCTGGATCCCGTGTGGCAATCATTTTTGTCTACCAAGAAAACCCTACGTTTACTAGGTCCTCTGAAGTTCCGCTTTGAATGTAACCTGTATTAGAGTCTATGGCTGCTGTGACACGTACCACAGACTGGGCGGTTTAAACCACAGACATTTACTTCCCACAGCTCTGGAGGCTGGGAGCCCAAGGCCAAGGTGTGGGCAGGGTGGGTTCCCCCTGAGGCCGTGAGGGAGAATCTGTTCCAGTCCTGTCCCCTTGGTGTGCAGGTGGCCATCTGCTCCCTGTGTCTGTCCCTCTCTGTGTCCAAATTTCCCCTTTTTACAAGGACACCAGTCATACTGGAGTGTGACCCTACTGACCTACTTTATGACTGGATACCTCTGCAAAGATCCTCTCTCCAAATAAGGTTCTGAGGTATTGGGGGTGAGGGTTTCTACGTATGGATTTGGGGGGTGGGAAGGGACACAATTCAACCCATAACATAACCTAAAAAATTTAATGGCAATAAGAACAAACGTCAGTAATGTGGTTGGTTACCAGTGGGCATTCTGGGATGTTGCAGACAGCTCTGACCTTACCTTTGATCATTCAGGAACCCCAGCTGGAGGCCCAGGGTTCAGTGTTTGGGTGGGGGCGGGGTGGCATGTGAACAGGGGACAAAGTTTAAGTGGAAGAATTGAAGTCTCTGATGGTGGGCATCGCTGCAGCGGGCAAGGTGGAGGACCCTGAGAGGTCCCCAAACCCTGGTGTGGAAGGACCCACATCTGATGAGGCCTTGACAGGGAGAGTGAGACGCAGGGGGTGCTCATCCCAGGGCAGTTTTGCCCCCAGCCCCTACCCGGGGGATATCTGGCAATGTCTGGAAACCATTTTGTTTGTGACAATGGGGGTAGGGTGGAGGGCACTGGCTGACAGCTCCTTGCAGGCTGGGGGCTGCATTTCTGTGACCTGTGATGAGTCCTTTAGAGAAGAAGAGGGGCCTCACCTGGAGCCAGGCTGGAGCCTCTGGGTGGGAGGTGCTGTTTCTGTAGCTCAGGCTCGGCAGCCCTGCAGAGGCCGTCAGATCTGGCTTCGGTGAATCCCGCTGGAACTGATCCAGGTTTTCTAACCCCTCTCCTGGACCTCGTCTTGCTGAGCCCTCAGGTCTTGGTAATTTTGCACCTACATGAACGGCTTGGAGAGAGACCCTTTGCCCAAACACAAGAACTCCCCACTTCACCCAACCCAAAGACCAATCTAGACAGATGATTGACCAGTGAAAGTTCACCAAAGAATTTAAGTAGCAGCCTTGCCCTGGGCCACTTGAAATTTGATTTCCCAAGTAAGTGACCTTTCTGCAGGCCCTGTATTTAGAAGGGTGTGCCGTGCCATCCTGCTCTAAGTGGCCAGTGGAACCCTCACCCCTTCTCAAGGCGTCACACGGGCACATTATGTTTTTAAAGAAAAGCAAGCACACAGAGCCTGCCTCTCGGCCATATAGCATATGTCATAAATTATTCGAGGCTCCTGAATCCCTAAACACCACCAAGGGCCTTCCTTGCCTTTTCTTGGGCTCAGAAACGTGAAGTCATTGCCAAGGTCACAGCTAATGGGTCCAACCAAGACCACGGTTCAAGCCCAAGGCAGCCTCTGGCCTGGGCTTTTGACCACTGCGGTAGCAGACTGCCTCTCCTGGTGACTGTTCCGGGTGCTTGGCCTGGAGTGGGGCCCGGGTCTGCCATGGAAAGCTGGCAGGATGGTGGAGCGACTGGGGCTGCTGCAGATGTGCAGGCAGCGTGCCGGGTGTGGGGGGCTGGGGCCACCCTATTCTCGCGCTCCACGCCGATCCAGGTGGCCAGAGCTGTTGGGTCCAGCCACGTGTTCGTGGCTCCTGGAAGCTGCTGCCCAGGGCGGAAGCTCACTCCTCCTCTCACCCTTTCCAGTTCCCCGACATCGTGGAGTTCAGCGAGACCATGGCCAATGCCGGGAAGACCGTCATTGTGGCTGCACTGGATGGGACCTTCCAGAGGAAGGTAAGGCGTCTGGTCCAGGTCTCGGGATGGGACCCAGGAGGGAGGAAGGGGCCGGGGCTGTGCACAGATGGACAGCTCACCGCGTCCTGGATGACCAGACTGCCAGAGCCCAGGCGCTCAGGCGAGCCAGACCCAGCTCCCTGGTTTGCCCCAGACTAGGCCGCCTGCTGCAGGGGCTGGTGCTCTGGGGGAAAGCAAGGTCAGGGCCTAGTTTCCTGGCTTCAGGGCTGTGAATCAGAGGGTTTCAAGGAAAAGCCCACCCAGTGAGGTAAGTGCACACCAGTCTTTCCATGGGAATACAGGCTTTCGGGACCATCCTGAACCTGGTGCCCCTGGCCGAGAGTGTGGTGAAGCTGACGGCGGTGTGCATGGAGTGCTTCCGAGAGGCCGCCTACACCAAGAGGCTGGGCGTGGAGAAAGAGGTGGCGCCTCCTGCCTTCTCCAAGGGGTGGAGGGGCGGGGGTGGTGCTGTGTCCCCGCTCAGTCCTGGTGCTTCCTGTCCCATGGCCAGGTCGAGGTGATAGGAGGAGCAGACAAGTACCACTCCGTGTGCCGCCTCTGCTACTTCAAGAAGGCCTCGGGTCAGCCTGTCGGGCTGGACAGCAAAGAGAATAAAGAGAACTGCCCAGTGCTGGGAAAGCCCGGGGAGGCCATGGGAGCCAGGAAGCTATTCGCTCCTCATCAGATCCTGCAGTGCAGCCCGGCCAACTGAGGCACAGGCCCCACACCCAGGACAGGCGCTGACCGGCCACCTGCTCCCGTGCCTGCTGCTGCCCCCTGGCGGACGCCTGCCCCCTGCGTGCTGCCCGGCCTTCTCGGAGGAGGAAGCGGGGGTGGGGGGGTGAAGTTTCACCAGCGCCCCTTCCCCGGCCAAGGGCCACGGGCCGGTGGTCTGCACATCACACTTCCCTCCTTGCCTGCCTGCCGGCTTCCCTCAGTTCCCTTCCCAGACTACTCACAATCCACCCCAGGCAGGCGCGGGGCCACTGCTGACGTGAGTCCCTCCCTCTCCAAGCGGTGAGGCCGGAGGCGCGAGCTCCTGTGGCATCAGCGCTCCTGGCTTCTTCCCCTTTTGTGGCTTTTGCTGTTGAGTTTCTGTTCTCACTGGGAAGTCGGAGCACCAGCACCTCTGGCTCAGCACCGAGCCTCCTCTAGTGCAAAGACTTTAGTCCTGCCTGGGACGGGCTCCTGGCCCTTCTGAGGATGGCTGGACTTGTTCTCTCTTACTTCCCTTTGGGTCAAAAGCCCTTCCTGCTCTGGCGATCATTTTCTCCAGAATTACAGCTTCTTCCATGTGGGTGACACCCTGCTGGGGCTCAGATCCCAGGGGCTTGTCTTTTAAAGCAGGGGCTGTGATTTTTCTGTTGTAGTGTGTGATATTAATAACTAATATTAAAATTTACTGGTTGATGAAAGCGTATTTCTCTTTAACTGTCTGGGATTCCCCAGGTCTCACTGGAGACAGCTGTGACCTGATTTAGGTGTGGGGATTTCTTTTCAAATCATTTTCTAGTACTACTGATCTCTTAGCCACAATGCTTTTTAACTGAGAAATGATCGTGAAGTGTGTCCTGAGAGGAATGTCTGCCTGCTCTTCTGTCGGGGCAGGTTTCAGGTCAAGATGGGTGGATGAAGGAGCCTGAGGCCCAGGTTGGAAAGATGAAGCTTTGGTCTGTGCTGCCAGATGGGGCTGTGAGGTCAGGTTTTGTTTGTGAAACAGACACTTGACAGTTCAGGAGCCAAGAAGACCAGCTCTGCTGTGCCTCAGAAAATACGCTGTGGGCAGCTTACACGGAGGCAAGAGTGCGCCAGGTCAGGTGTGGGTGGGGTGAGCCTGGGCTGTAGGTGTGCCCCATGCACATGGGGGTCCGGGTTCCCCACCCTCGCCCCAGCTTCTCCCTCCCCTTTGCTCGCGGTTGGTCCCAGGTTACAAAGGTGCAGTACAGTGATGAGAACGTAATTCCCAAACCCTATTAGTTTTTACTCAGGATTTTGAAACTGTTGGGGCCCACTTTTGACAGCTCCCTGTCTGGGCTCAAAAGGGGAAGCCCCGAGTTGCCCTGGGGGCCCTGGCCTCCTGCCTGAGCCGGGCTTGTTCCCTGGGGCGGGCTGGGCAGTCAGGCCGGCCCCCTGTGTGTCCGGAACAGGCTGCAGAGGTGCTGAGCCCTGTCTATGGGAAGCAGAGGGCCCCTGCCCCTCCAGGGGCACACCAGGACCCTGGCAGAGCGGCCCAGAAAAGCCATGTTGTTTACAGGCTGAGCACAGTTACTATTTTAAGATGCTGATGGGAGGGCAGCGTGAGCAATGAGACCCTGGGTCGGTGGGGGGGGTGGGGGTGGCGGGGAGCTGCTAGGCACGCTGGAGGGCCAGACTGCCACAACTCTGTTCAAAATACAGGTTCCATAAGACCTCGGCCAGAGGGTGTACCTCAGGGTGGAATTTCTCTTTCTCCTACCCCTAGACAGAGGCCCCACCCATGACAATGGAGATTATGAATGAGAAAAACATTTATTCCATCTCCAAAGTTAGTCAACAGAATCCAAGGGTGCTGTGCATCTCCCCCGAGGCTCTGCAACACATTCAGAGCAGCCTGGGGGCTGTGGGTGTGCTCCACGCCTCCCAACTAACGGTGCTGGGGTATTTACATAAAGCTGGGTGCTGTCGTCAGGCAAAGCCCCTTCCTGCGGCCAAGGGGTGGGAGCAGAGACAGTGCTGCCCGCCCGAGCCCGCTGGTGGGGGGCGGCACCAGCCCTGCGCCTAGGCTGTCAGGAAGGTGACCCAGAGGCACTGGCACAGAGCCCAGATCCAAGCGAGCAGACACTTCAGCAGTGAGCACGGGCTGCCGCTCGCAGAGCAGGCAGGGGGCAGGGGGCTGGGGGCAGAACGAACCTGAGTGAGGAGGAAAGGAGCCCCAGCCCAGTGCCAGCAGCAGAGCAGGGGGAAGGCCCCACAGCCTCATCTTTGGCAGAGACCCCCAGAGGGCGGTGGCCACCGAGGCCTGCACGTGGCCCGGCTCCTTCAGGCTGGGGAGAAGCTAAGGCACTTGTCAAACCAGCACATCGGGCCCTTGGAGCTACTTCAGGTGGGGTTGGGGATCATTAAAAGCAATGACAAAACCCATCCAACCAAAAACCCTTCCCTAAAAAATGCCCTCGAGGAGTGGTAGGTGAAGCCCCCTGGGGCACAGGCCGAGGCTCTGAGGCCAGCAGCCAGGACGAGGAGGCAGAGGCTCTCTCTCCAGGCCGTGCGTCAGCTCCGACAGGCCCCAGGTGGATCGAGCGGGGCCGGCAGCTCTGGGAGACCAGCCTCAGGGGAGGAGTCCGGGAAGAGGGGAGGCCCCCCAGGCGCCCTCCCTCCTCCCCTTACCATCCCCGGCCGCAGCTCAGTACACGGGGGGCGGCTGGTAGCCCTCTGTGGTCTCGGCGTTCTGGGTGAAGGGCGGCTGTTGGTAGCTGTCCACAGGCGCGCCTGGGTAGGAGGCGTAGGCCGTGCTGGGGTCCAGAGTGGGGTCCACGTAGTTCTGGATGAAGTCATCCACTCCGGCCTTGTAGCGCTGGTAGGCCAAGGAGGCCAGCACGCCCTGCAGAGAGCCCCGAGGTTTGGGTTCCTCAGCCCTCCACCACCCTTCACCAAAGACACCAGGGCCCTGGCCCGTCCTGGTCCACTTACCCAGGAGAAGACAGAAAAGAAGCTGAAGGCGATGGCCGCCCGGGCCGAGTCGGCTCCCACCAGCACGTATTCCGGCTTGGTGGCTGCCCACTGATTGGCAAGGAAGCAGAAGCTGACGAACCACATGAAGGTCCAGAGAGCTGGGGAGAAGGCCAGGAGGGCAGGGTCAGCTCCACGGAGCAGGCAGGAGGGCAGGCACCTCCTGGAGGGAGGAGCCTCCGGGGGTGGAAAGGGCACTGATGCAGAAGCCAGGGTGGGGACAAGAGGCTATCCTGGGAGTCCTTGCTCCAAGTCCCACTCAGCTGCGGAGGGTTTCAGCAGATGGTCTGCTGGGAGGTCCGGGGACCTGGGGCTACTCCCACCCCTCCCAAGCCCTGCAGTCACAGCACCCTAGAGCTCTTGGGACCACTGCCGCTCCTGTTCACCCCAAGATCAAATGGAGGTGCAGCCGGCAGATACCTGAGAAGAGCAGGTCGCTGATGACCAGGTACTTGCGGTCAGTGGCGTTGCTGATCTGGGGGAAATAGACGTCGATCACGAAGAAGAAGGCCGAGGCCAGGAAGGCCAGCACCCCGATGGCGCTGCCGAAGCGGCACGCATCCTCGTTGTGGTTGAACACGCAGTACTGCTGACTGGACTCGTGGGTGTTGCTGTAGCCCTCACCGAAGATGCATGAGAACACGATCAAGGCGAAGACCTGAGGGGGAGGCAGGGGAAGGGCTGAGTGACTGCTACCCTCGTGGGACAAACCCCCCAGGTGGCACACAGAGTGGGGCCTACTCTGCTCCTGCTGTCCCCCGTGCTCCAGGTCGGTGTCCCAGCCCCTCCTGAACTTGGAGAGCGAGCCCCTCCCTCTCCCTTCTCCTGGGCTATCTCCAGACACCAGTCACAAGTCACGAGGGGCATGGCCGGGGATTCCTGGACTGGGGATGGTGGGGAGTGAAGGGGATCTCCTGGGAGGGGACTGCCCGCCCAGCTGTCTGCCTGGAGGATGGGTACTGGTGGTTAGGTACTTGAAGATTAAGGGCAATCGCCCAAACTAAAGCACTCCCACTTTCAGTGAGTTTTAAACAGGATGGGTCACAAAGTCATAAAAACCCAAGCTTGGAGTCTCACCCCCATCACCTGTCTGAGTCACCTCTACAGCACCCAGCCTCTGCCTAAACACCCAGTGATGGAGGGCTCCTCCCACCTCAGGAGAGCCATGCCTCCGAGCCGAAATAGCGTCCCCAGACCCCCACCTCCTGGAGCCCCCTCCACCTCTTCCCTGCTGGGCTCCCCAGTTTGGCCAGCTTCTTTCCTACAAGGAATTCTGGGCTCTTTGGCATCCTGGCCCCTGCCCTCCCAGGGAACCCCAGCTGGCCTCCCGCTCACAGTGGGTCCCACCCACTCAGAGCACCTCACGCTGGTCTGCCCAGCAGGCCTGTGGACACAGCTCTGCACGCAGACCCCTGGATGTACTGGGGTGGGGGTCGAGGGGGTGTACCAGCCAGAACGCTGGGAGGGGCTCCAGGCCCTTGCGAAAAGCCTCTCGTCACCCGTCTCCGCCCCAAACTGAAAGGCCACCGCTCACCCCTGCCTTATGTCAGCAGACCCGGGACAGTCTGGACGCCTGGCTCCCTCTGGGACCGGCCCAGGCCTCTCCCCAGCCTGCCCTGCCTGCCTGCACAAGGCCCTCTCAATAGGCTCTGGAGCTGGCAGTCACAGGCCCCACCCCCAGCTGGAGATGAAGCCGGAACTCTGGATGCTGGGAGCAGTGTGCCAGCCTGACTCCTGGCACTGCCATCCCGAAACGTGGGCATCTGCTCCTGGAGTCAGACCCCACAGTCAGGCAGAGCGGGGGTGAGAGTGTCACCAGGGCAACGCGTAGGGCTCCAGTCCCAGGCAGGGGCAGGTGTGGTGTGGGCGCCGCGTGCCCAGCCCTCTGCCTGCGGGCTGGCTAACAGCTTGTTCAGCTTTGGGCTCCGGTTGTCCGAGAGCATGGGACCTCCCACCAACGCCCCACCCCGGTAACCTGGTACTGGAGCGCTCAGCCAGCTCACATGGAGGGGAACATCCTGGGGTCACCTGATCTTGGATGGGGAAGCAGACCCATGGGCTGCTCTTGAGAGACTCTATATCAGGGCGCCAGGCTGCCCCCCAACCCCACGCACCCCACGTGGCTTCGGAAAGCCCCTTCCTGATGAATTCCCCCAGGGTGGGAGTCGCGGCGTGCCGGCCACCTGTCCTGGAGCCGCCTCAAACTCCTCCCACTGCCAGCAGGGCGACGGGCCTGCTCCCCGCGGTGCCGCCCGGCCAGTCCGCGCCCGGGCTGGGAGGTGAGGGGTGGCGGGACCCGGGTTCGGGGGGCGGCGGGGCCCGGGGGGTGAGGGGCTGGAGGGTCCCGGGCCCCGCTCGCCCGCCCCACGCGCGCCGCTCCCACCCCCGGGCCTCGGCCGCCACCACCTGTCGCGCTCTCAGGCTCCCAGCGGCCCCACTCCCCCGGCCTGGCGACGAAGTCGGTTCCCCGAGGCCCCGCACCCCGGCTCACCAAGCACACGGCGCGCACCACCACCTGCGGCTGCGTCAGGAAGCGCCTCAGGTCGAAGGAGCCGCCCGCCTTGGCCGCGCCGTAGGCCCCGCTCTCCATGTCGCCGTCGCAGCCGCCGCCGACGCCGCCGCCGCCGCAGCCGCGGACTGCTGAGGAGCCAGCCCGCCGCCCCGCCCCCGGCCCGGCTCCTCCCCAGGGGCGTGGCCAGCACCGCCCCAGGGACCGAGGGCAAAGTCCGCCCAAGACGAGCGGCGGTGCAGGAGCGGCAGGGTTACCCCGACATCCCGGCCTGCGCTTCCAGCGGCCGACATCCGTCCAGCGGCCGCGGACTCGTTGTCCAGCCCACCTCTCGGCCGGAGTCTCGTCCCTCTGCTCTACTGGTCCGCAGGGCGACTGGAAAGGGCCAGAGAGTCCCCAGGAAGAGAGGGTCGCAAGGAGGGCCCGCCCCCCTGCTCCATCCACTCTTTGCCCCTGCACTCCCGCCTCCGCCTCCAGGAAGCCCCGCCAGACGCCGTCTGGGCCCCATCTGCCCAAGACCGCTCCTACGCACCTCCTCTCTTCTCCCCCATTCTACTTAAACCCCAGGCCACAGCCTGGACCCCTCCCTGCATGGCCTGTCACTCTTTTCTCCTCTCTGGAGCTAAGCCTGGGATGTGGTCGAGACCACCGCCCCTCCCAGTTTTTCCCGAGCCGGGCCCGGCCCCAGGGCCATGTAGGGCCGTGCGTAGGGCCGACTTCCAGGCTCCAAGATGGTGTGCAGACAGAAACGAAGTTCCCAGGGTGGCCGGCAGGGGGCAGAGTTTAATACAATTCTTTCCGGAAATGGTTCAGAGCGTCCAAACTGGGATGGCTCTAGGTGTGTGTGGGTGGGGAGGGGGGCTAGTTCTCCAGGGGCCTCAGGCTGACTCGGCAGGGAGGAATTCCAGACATCATAGTTGCAGGTAAAGATTAATGAGGGGGTGCTGGCCAGGTGGGGCCCAGAGTCCTCCAGGTGAATGGGACGGTGACAGGTGAGCAGTGGAGCCAGAGGACTGGGCCACCAGGAGATGGGGTGCCACTCCAGGGAAGAGGGGAGCAGGGGTGGGGGAGGAAGCAGTGGCCCTGGGTGGGCTGGTGCCTCTGGGCCTTCACATCTACCCCACCGTCTCGCCAGACCTGGATGGACGGTGACGAGCTGCTGAGCGGTGAGGAGAGGGGCCCTCACAGAGCCCCGTCCTCCTATGGACCTCTCCTTCCCCCTACAGCTCCCCCCATCCTAAATCCCTCAAACTAGCACCATGAGTATTTGATGAAGAACACCAGCGCTCCAAGAATCCAGGCTGGTGGGGCTTTTCTTCATTCTTTTCTTCATTTCATTTCTTCAAATGGTGGGTCCTTCTATAGGGGACAAGGACCAGGGCTCTCCTGGGGACTCTGCCCAGCCTGCATCTTCTGGTCACGACCTTGATGACAAAGGAGTTGAGACTCCAGGTTAAGCCAGTACACCTCCCAGCCACCCCCTCCCAAGGCCTCCAGGAATTTTATTGGTGGCAAGTGCATCAGTGCCCTGGGCAGGAGGAGGGGCGTGAGGCTTAGTCACACCACGAAATAAGGTGGGGGCACTGAATCACCTGGAGGCCAAGTACTGGCCCCTGGTCTGTATACCCCCTGTTATAGAAGGGGAAACTGAGGCTCAGAGAGCTGACATGGCTCGCCCATGAGCCTAGCCTCTGGGACAGACTTGGGAGGGAGGGGCGCAGAGGTAAGACAAGGAGAGTGCCAAGGACTCCTGGACAAAGCCCACCAAAGAGGCTGGCCAGGTGTTAGTGAACTGGTCGACCAAACCCACACTGGGGTCCTAGCTCGGGCTGAGACCCCCTGTCTCAGCCAGGGAGGTTTGATTTGCTCAGTCAATAACAAAACGGATGCTGAGACTGGAAGAGCACCAGCTTTCTTCAATGGCCAAAGAATGGAGAAGCGGGAACCTAGTTCGCAAATCAACTCAACCCAATTCAGTTGGAGACACCAAATAAATAGGAGGGTTGGAGTAAAAGGGAGGGGTTTGGAATGAGTGGGAGGAATATTCATGAGTTATCCAAGAACAGGGGTGTGGTTTGGACCTGGAACTGATGCAACTCTCCTTTGCAGTTCTCATAGGGGCTTTTCTGGTTGTCATGGTGATCGCCAGCTGTCCTGGTGCTGGTGGGTGTGTCATTTAGCTAACGTATAGAGCGTGTAGTAAGGCTCTAGATCTATTGGAAGTCGAATCCTCCGCCATCTTGAGCCTAGTTGGTTCTAACTGGTTCTTGTTTTTTTTCTGTTTGCTGCTTCCTCCTGAAACTTAGATAAGAGTAATTGGTTTCTCTTCGAGGGAGGGACAGGGGTGTGATTCTGGGGAGACAGCTTTGGTACCAGAGGGGCGGGGAGGATGACCAGGAGACAGAAGTGTCTTAGGAACGAGGGGAGGTGGGAAGTTCGGAGGCAGAGGTGACCACTGCCAAAGGCCAGGCAGGTGGGGCACACAGAGGCCTGCGGTGCCCAGGGTTGGACAGCACAAAGGCCCTGGTCACTTTACAAGTCAGTGAAGTAATAGCCTTCGAGAGGGGACCCCAGGAGGTCCGGCCCCTGCCTCCGGTCACCAGCTGGAAAGACTGACGGGGTTTCCATGGAGGGTAGAAGCCCCTGGCCCACCCTGGTGCCCCGGAGGCTCCATCCTCCTCAGACCAATAGGGAGTATTGGAGAGAGCCCCACCCAGAGGCAGTGGACTCCACGACAAGGCGGCTAGAGCATGGTCAGGGTCAGATAAAGCCGCCAACGTGCTCCATGGGCACTTGGCACACGGTAGGCCCTAAGTAAACTTTTGCAAGTCATGCATAAGCCATACGGCCCTTTCTTTGCCCTGGTGGTGTTACCGAACGCAAGTTCATGTGCCCAACACACTGTGAGGCCAAACAGAACAAAATGTTGGAGTTTGGAGCACAGAAAGTTTTACTGCGGGGCCATGCAAGGGGAACGGGGCAGGGGCGCTCTGCCCCCCCAAATTCCGAACTCCTCGAGGGCTTTCAGCAAAGCACTTTTATCGGCCAGGTGAGGGAGGGGAGCCGCAGGGTATGTGATCAATTCTCTGATTGGTTGGTGTCACAGAGGTTAACATTATCAATCCTTAGGCACCAGAAGGCCCCTGGGCTACGAACCCATGATCCTCAAGTAGTTAATTTCTTCCATTGGGTCGTGGGTTTTAGCATCTGAAAAATTCAGGAAATATGCCTGAGATACTGTTATCTGGGTACTTCAGAGAGGAGCTACAGCAGAAGATATGGAGGAGGGGTCTGTCCTGGGAAAGCCCCATAGGGTCCTGCTTGGTTCCAATGGCAGCCCTGCCCTACCAAACCACCACCGGCTCTGCCAAGCCAGGGCCCCCGTTGGTCCACAGAGGCCATCAGCAGTTCACTCCTCCCCCACATCCAGCACCCATTTCCTACCTGATCTGCTTGGTCCAGCTCAGTTTCCAAGAAAAGACGGCTATGATGGAGATGAGGCAGGCAGCCAGCGCGAAGGTGGGTCCCTGGGGCAGCTCTCCTGTGAAGGAGGCGGGGGACAGCTGGGCTGGACTTCCGTTAGGCCAGGCCAGGGTAGGCATGGCTGCGTCAGGGCACCCGTCCCTGCTCTTGGCACCTCCCACTGACCTACTCAGAAGCGCCAGCTGCCCCTCTGGAAACCAAGGGGCCCTCTCACCTGGGGGCACCAGTGTGAAGGGAGTGTGCTGGACGCTGATGTTGTTTTCAGCCTGGCACCGGAACCAGTCCGACGTCTGGTTCAGTGGGAAGGAGAAGTTGGCTGGCTGCCCAGGGTTCCGAGTCTGCTGCATGTGGATGTGCCCGTTCCTCCTGACCAGTCTGTAGGTGATGGGTGGGCTGCCCGAGGATGCCTGGCAGAACACCTCTACCCTGAGGCCTGACCCCCTGTCCAACAGGGTGAAGTCAGCTTGCAGCTGGGACACCGGCTCTGGCAGGGTGGGAGAGGGCGGGGGCACAGGTGTGGCTGGGAGACTTTAATGCCCTCCCCCTAGCAGTTCCCTCAGTACACATGCCTAATGAGCCTAGTGGCCTAACTGACTGATTGCTCCTCCAGGCAGCCTTCTGGATTGCTCCCTCCGCCTCGCGTCTGAGCTTCTACCCTACTTGCAGTGTATACCATACAATTTCATCCACGTATTTGGTTTTATTTTCATGTGGTATATTCTGGGTTGCCAGACTGAGCAGCTAAAAATACAGGACACCCAGTTAATTTTGAATTCAGATTAACAATGAATAAACTTTAGGCAGTCTCTTAAAGATGAGACAGTCCAAAGAGGAAGAAGGAAACCAACGTTTAACAAGCACCTTAAGAAAATGCTCGTCTGGCAATTCCTGAAAAAGTTAAAGAATTACCACACGACCCAGCAATTCCACTCCTAGCTATATACCAAAAGAATTGAAAACAGGGACGCTAACAGATACTTGTACACACATGTTCACAGCAGCACTATTCACAACAGCCAAAAGGTGGAAACAGCCCAGATGTCCATCAATGGATGACGGATAAACAAAATGTGGTCCATCCACATGACGGAAGAGTATTCATCCATGAAAAGGAATGAAGCACTGACACCTGCTACAACATGGATGAACCTTAAAAACATTATGCTGCGGCTTCCCTGCTGGCGCAGCGGTTGAGAATCTGCCTGCTAATGCAGGGGACACGGGTTCAAGCCCTGGTCTGGGAAGATCCCACATGCCGCGGAGCGGCTGGGCCCGTGAGCCATGGCCGCTGAGCCTGCGCGTCTGGAGCCTGTGCTCCGCAACAAGAGAGGCCGCGATAGTGAGAGGCCCGTGCACCGCGATGAAGAATGGCCCCCACTTGCCACAACTAGAGAAAGCCCTAACGCAGAAACAAAGACCCAACACAGCCAAATAAATAAATAAATTTAAAAAACCAAAAAAACATATTATGCTGAATGAAATACATCAGACACGAAAGGCCACATATTGTATGATTCTATTCATGTGAAATACCCAGAATTTTTTTTTTTTTTTTTTTTTTTTTGCGGTACGCGGGCCTCTCACTGTTGTGGCCTCTCCCGCCGCGGAGCACAGGACCCGGACGCGCAGGCTCAGCGGCCATGGCCCACGGGCTCAGCCGCTCTGCAGCACG